GGCACTACTGTAATGTGATCCATGCACGTAAGAAAAAAAATCTCCAACTTTATTTCCTTGATTCTACTACAATGCTCTGGTCCCCCCTCCAGTTTGTTTGTTTGTTTTTCACATGTATGGGACCAATATGCACATATATTTAAGTAATGGGAAGAAGTGGTCTTCTTCAGTCATCACGGGACAAAAAAGGCCACTTCGTAAGTTACAGTTCAAGGAAGAAGAGAAACAATGAATAGCTGCAGTCTGTTTTCAGGAATAAATTGTATGTAATACCACCACCAACAGACATATCCGCATTCATCATTTACATTTGTACACAGCCACCAGTTTGGGGGGCTTGGTTTCTTTTTCAAAGGGAGAGCCATGGTTCACAGTGGGATTGAAACCACACACATTCAGTACTCCTATAATAAAAAGGGTACAAGCTTGAAAGCCAGCACTATGAAAAAAGTCCAGTACACAAAAAAAAAAAAAAAAGGCTCATGCGCCTAGCCTGTGCACAAAGCCAGCAGAAATTGCTGGAAGTAAAAATAGCACCCACACTGAGGCTATGTAAACCAGTTTTGCTCTACTTCAGAAGGATAAAGAGCCCAGTCACAACAAGGCACAAACCTGTTTCTGGGTTTTTCAGAAGAAAAAGCCAAATACATAATAAGTCATTTCAACTAAACATCTTTACTGCTGCCTGCGCAAGGACTTCTTCCTCATACTTACTCTCCTTACGTGAGAAGAAGTTTACGTAAGAGTAATGAGTGTGGAAAAAAGAAAAAAAAAAGTAATGCTGTTTAAGTTTTAGCGTGAACAGACCAACTTTGGTTCAGGCAGAAACAAGGGTGCTTTTGAGCGTGTTTCTGGCTACCAAGTTCGGCTGCTCAGCTTCCACGGCAGGGCGAGTTTCACACTCCGAGGTCCAGCTTCTCGATAACGCTTCCCCTCTCGTGTTACCAGCCACAGGCTTGCGAGGAGCCTGAAGTTTCAAGAGGAAGCTCTGAAAAATGCCCTTGGTTTACCAAGCCCAGCGTGGATCGCGCTGTGTGGCGGCCGGGTGGCCGAGTATCGCGCTGAGGTATCCTGCCATAAAGTTTCTCCAGCAAAGCCACCAGGTGCCAGCCTGCACGTCCCAAGCGCCGTGAAGCTGGGCTGAGAGAAGCGTTGCTTTTTATTATCAGAAAGCTGCATAAACAGGAATCTGGATGGGTTTTGTGGTGGTTTTTTTTTTTTTTTTGGAGGAAGCGAGGCGCTGACAAGCAAAGGGGGGCTGTGGCGATGGGAAGGCAGAGGCGCAAGGTAGTTTCAGGGAGTCGTGCAGAGGGACGTGCACGGTGCTGGCTGCCGAAGGGGGTGTTTTACAGCGGGGAGGGCTACGCTGCCTCCATTCCCCTCCTTTATGGGGTCGGGGTGAAAGGATCCGCTTGGGCTGGGGCGGGCCGGGCCGAGCCGAGCGGCAACCGGCGTGAAATGGCCGCGCTGCCCCCTCCCGCCCCGCGCTGCCCCCGGGCACCTGCCCGCACCCCCAAAGCCCCGAACACCCCCGGGGGGATTACCGGGGGGTCGTCTGCTCGCCCCGCTCACCTTGGGCAGCTCCCGGAGCTGGTTGGCGTCCAGCAGCAGCTCCTCCAGGCTGCGGCTGTAGCGGTAGATCTCCTCGGGCACGGCGGCCAGCGAGCAGTGCCGCTTGTCGATGGACTCCACATGGCGGTTGCAGCGCCACAGGGGGATGCAGTGAAACATCGCCGCGACGCCCCGCCGGGGGGGAGGCGGCGGGCAAGCCGCATCCAGCGGCCAGCAGCGGGGCCCCCGGGGCGAGCGAGGCGGCCGCCGGAGGCTGGCAGAAAGGGGACGGCCGAGAGAGCCGCGGAGCAGGGAGCGAGGAGCCGGGAGCGGCCGCCCCCCCCTCAGTGCTCGGCGCCGGGCCGCTGCCGTCCCCGCAGGGGCATCGCGGGGCGCCGGGCGCAGCGCTGCTGGCGGCCGCCGCGCATTCCCGCGCCTGACCCGGAACACGGCGGCCGCTCCCCCTCCTTCCCTGCCTGCCCTCCCTCCTGCTCTCCCTTCCCTCCCTCTTCCCTCCCTCCCCCGTCCCGCCTGACATCAGCGGGGCCCGCCCCGGGGCCGCGCCGTGCTGCCGGGGGGGTCCCCAGCCCGCCCTGCCCTGCCCGGGGGTCGCGGTCGCGTTTGGCTTTTCCCCGGTGGTTGGGTGCCGGGCAGGGTGACTGCAGGGACGGGACAATGCTGCTGTGGCAGACCGTGCCATTAATATCCATATATCTATATCTATCTGTATGCTGTTATCCTCAGGGCTTCCTGAAAGCGCTACCTGAAAGGAAGGTGTGGGGAGCTGGGGGTCTCCTCACAGGTAACCAGCGATAGGACCAGAGGGAATGGCCTCAAGTTGCACCAGGGGAGGTTCAGGTTGGAAATGAGGAGATATTTCTGCTCAGAAAGAGCAGGCAGGCACTGGGACGGGTTGCCCAGGGAGGTGGTGGAGTCACCGTCCCTGGGGGTGTTCGAGGAAAGGTTGGACGTGGTGCTTAGGGACATGGCTTAGTGGGTGACATTGGTCATAAGGGGATGGTTTGACCAGATGATCTTGGAGATCTTCTCCATCCTCTATGATGCTGTGATTCTAAAATCCCCTTCCCAAACCCTCAGCCCCCATCTGGAGCATCCCCGCCAGTTGGCTGCCCAGTGCTGGTCTGGGGAGTCACACGGGGACATACAACGCGCTCAGAAACAGGCATTCGACGTCAGAGTTTCTCTGAAATGTTCCGATTTTCTTGCCTAATTATGACTGCGTGCAGATACAGGAACGGGGCAAAGGGGGAAGTTCATCACAGCAGCCTCTGCCCCTGCATGCTGCTGAGAATACCCAGTCATAAAAGGGCAATTTTCTTCTTACCGGATAAATCTTGCGAGATAAACTTGGGTAATTTCTGTGGGAATCGCAGGGGTCTGCACACTTTTAGTTGTTAAAAGGACATTTTAGGACTGTGGACTGCTATACAGATTGCTAAGAAACTTTTTAAAAGTTACCACTGATATGCATTATTGTATAATAACACATTTCACACATATGTACCTTAAGGAGCTGTCAGAAGCAAGAATTTCTTCAACCAATACATTCAGTAATTAAAAAAAAAAAATCCATGGAAACTCCCAAAATCTAAATAAAGTATGTAAAGAAATCTGCTAATCTGTGTCCACGTGTGCTTATAAATAACAATAAATCTATGTCCACGTGTGCTTGTAAATAGGGTGGGTGTGCACCAGCATTCTCAGGCTGTCCCAACCCCTGGCCATGAGATTAGATAACCACGGGGCATAGAAGACAGGAGAAAATCAAACAAACGTGTTGAGCACCAGCGCAGGGCCTGGCAAAAGCAGGGATCCAGGACTCTGTCCCCAAGATCTCAGAGGTGGAAGGAAGAACAGCCAGCTGTAGTACTAAGAGGGTCTTGGTGGTCAGTTGGGCACTACCAACCTAAATGCAGTGACCATGGAGGCTCCTCGGTGACTCTCTCTCTGGGAAACCCTTCAAAGAAGCAGGACAAAGTGGAAGCCGTGCAGCAGAGGACTTGACCAAAAGAAAATGCCCCTCCTCTGGGAATCACTGCAGGAGTGCGGAGCTGGTGGGTACAGAAGCCGACACGAGGACAGAATGGTTGTCCCTGGGGCTTGTAAAGGGCTTGATCCTTTCTGGTGTGACATGGACACACAGTTTGGCATGAAGTGTCACTGATGCTGTCATGTGTCTCATGACTGGGTCTCACTGTGACAAGTCTGGACAGTAACAGGAGGGTGACAGTGACTGTGGGGTGAGCCTGGGTACTTCACTGAAGAATTAAGCAAAGTGTTTGCATGCTTCTCATGAGTGTCAGGCAGTCCAGGGGACAGCGTGATGACAAAATGCCTCAATATTGTTAAGCTCTCCCTTCACCATATAATACTTAGGAGCTTTGGACATCACATTTGGACCAGTGGCCCTGAAGATATAGCCTGTGGCTAAACTCATGGTATGGAAACAGGCATCAAGGAGGCTGAGAGGCAAACCAGCACCTTTGTTGAGGAAACACTATTCTCATAGCTGAAAGCATCATCCTGAACTTCAGCTTGTAAATAAACCCGTCCAGCTTTGGGAGGTGTAATGAGTTACTAGTCTCTATTGTCCTTTTGTGCTGAGAAATAGCAGCAATAAAAAACCCTTCCCTAAAACGAGGCCAATTCTCTATCCCCTTTGCCCAGAAGAAAAGCAACCTCATGTTGGGGTAAGTATTTGTGTGAGACGTCTTTGAAAAGGGGTGAGAAAGGAAAATGGTGATCTAATAAGGAGACTCATTAGCAGCACTTGGGAGAACCTACGTGCCTCCGTGAGCAAGCAGCAGGGGACAGCAGGTTGCCAGGATTTGTATGTGCACGTATCTGACAAACTTCTTACTTGGGGCAATTGTCCCCCCTAGGGCTCAGAGAAGTATTGCCCTCTCTGATAGCAGCAATCCTGCTGGTTTACACAGATCCATGGCAAGCCAAGGTGTGGCTCGCCTACAGAAGGAAGTGAGGGCTGTTGCTCTCCCAGTTCTGCAGGGGATTACCTGGCTCCAGACTGCCATTTGATAGCCATTCAGTTTGTTGTATTTTCACTTTTATTCTGACCTTTTTATGGAAGTCTTTTCATCTTTCTTTCTTTTTTTCCCTTCCTTCCTTCCTTCCTTCCTTCCTTCCTTCCTTCCTTCCTTCCTTCCTTCCTTCCTTCCTTCCTTCCTTCCTTCCTTCCTTCCTTCCTTCCTTCCTTCTCTTCCTTCGCTCTCTCTCTCTCTCTCTTCCTAGTGCTTCTCCAAGTACTTCAGTGCTCTTGTATACTGGTTGGCTTAATTTCAGTTCCTTGGGACAAACAGGCTTTATTTTACAACTCTCCCAACAACGCCCAGAGCCTGTATGAAATTTGTAAGAGAGGTAATCCCATTGCCTCCTTTGCTAGAGAAATTAACATCAGGAGCAGCTTCATGGATCGTTCTTGGCAGGCTGCTTTATTCAGCCTCAGGTGGACGCAGTCAGGTTTCTCTGAACTCAGCTTCAGAGGGGAATAGATGAAGTCTGCTCTCACCATGGTGCCACAGTTCACATCTCTTTCTGGCTGGGCAACCCACATCAGGCTTTGTGTCATTCACCATTGCTCTGTTAAACACTGTTAAGGTATAAACACAGGAGAATTTGTTATCAAACACATCCTTCTTTTAAGGAAGATTGATTCCTGAGAGCTGGTTGCACCCCCAGATATTCACAGCCCAGGTACAAGAGCAATCTCTCTGTGCAGGACTGCTGGCAGGGTTGTGTTGGATCACCCCACTCACTGCTGGGAATGGCAGTGGGGTATCAGCTTCACGTACAGTCACATCATAATTTAAATTTGGGAGAAAGGTCGTGACCGAAAACTTAATGCCTTCGACTATCAAACTGCCATCCTTCAGCCACTTCCAGATTGGTCTGGGTACAGAGGCAAGAACATCAGTGTTGAAAATCAGTGTTTCTCTTTCTAGACGCTGTCCTTCTATGTGCTCTTCAAGAAAAAAATACTTTTATGTGAGCTTTAAGGCTCTCAGACAATGAAATGTAAAATATAGATTAGGTTATGCCAACCTCAGGGAGAATTCCCCAAAGTTATTATTCAAAAGAAGCGAGAGCAAGGTCAGGCTGCAGATACTCCCTCCTCAGCACTGATCAGGCAGAAAGATCTCTGGTTTTTCTAAAGAAACACCCCATTTGTTTGCAGCACAAGCAGGCAGCATCACGTTTTGAGATACTTACAAAAGGCCATAAAGCACAGATACCCAGGAGTTGGGGTGAGTGTGGAGGAGGTGAGTGCTGCTCCAGTGGAGACAGGAATATTCAGTTAGAAATTAGCAGTAAGGAGCACTCTGGCGTGCAGAGATGGAGAGAAAAAGAATGGAGAGAAGCAGTTTTTAGCATAGATACTGTTTAAGTAGTTTGTAAAGTTCAGAGTTCAAAATGCATTTAAATTAACACTAGGAAAAATAATTATAAAAAAAAAAAAAAAGCAGGGCAAGTTCCTGAAGTCTCGTCTGCATTAGGGACTTTCTCCCTCCCCCAGCCACATTTCCCTACCGCCCTTAGAGAAATGGAGATGCAATTACAGAGCATGAAGAGGCTGGGGCAAAACAAGAAGAGCACAAAGAAGGAAAGACTCAAGTACTGCAGGTGACAGGAGCAGGCTGGGGTGCAACAACCCAGTGGTACTCTCCATACACAGCCTCTGATTGCTGCTGGAAAGTATCTACCCACCCCTCCACCCAAATTAAACGTGAATACTACGGAGGCACCAGCAAGCAGAAAGCCTGCAGAGCTGCTGAGAGCCAGGCCTGGCAGTGTGCTGGAGTTAATTAGCACTGACATACTTCTCCTCTCAGTTTTGCTGGCTGAGGACGCCAACCACATTTATTCTTCAGGTTTTGTTTAAATTGTTTAGAGGGGGTTGTACAAGCAGCAGGTAGGTGTAACTACGAAGCATTCCTCTATTGATTGCCGAGCTACCAATTCTGGTTACCTAGGCACAGGCCTCACGTCTACAAAGCTTTTGTGCGTCTGAAGTAACTGGTGTGGAATAATATGAACGTGTTATTCCTATAAAGCTCTACCTAAGAGTTGCGATGAATTACCAGCCTGTAACGCACAGCCTCGGTGGCACACGCTGGCGGCACGGCGTTTAACACATTCGGTGTTCCTGCAGCACTATAAATAGCAGCCACTTCGAGCAAGAGCTGCAGCATCTCTCCACCCCCACCCCCAAACAAATTGCTGACGATAACGTCACCTTTTATTTGAACACAATGAGCTGTAATCACATGAGGTATTACTCTGATTTAATCCTATTTGCTTCAGTTTGGTTTGCAAGGAGTGGCCAGTAATAGGCGGTTGTGTTGTATCCTATGGTTTCTTATTTCACACCAACTCTTGAGGGCTGACACCCATCATCTTCTTTGGCCAGAAGAACAAAGTAATAGGTTCTGGCAGGTGAGGAGGAGCCAGTGGCTGGGATGGGTTTCTTCCCTTTTCCTTTATTTTCCCTTTTTTCTTTTTTTTACCCTTCTTGATTGCTGGACTCGCTATCACAGCTGATGGTTAGATTTTGAGCACCAACTACTTTTCAGGTTTTCATTATTCTCGCTAGGCTCAATAACAGGTATGAACCTCTCGCAGCAAATTTCACTTCTCCAGCCACTGTGAAGCGAGCGAGTAGAGACACGAATTCAGGCCTGTGTTTATTTTTTTCTGAATCAACACCATAATTTAGCTAAATACCACTCCACTGTGTTTGAGCGCAAGTTTGGTGCTCTGTTTCCCATGCCCAGCAAGCTGCTGGATTTGGCATTAAAATGAAAAGGCAGGTACCAGAAGCAGGTAACTCACCCTGCCTTTCAGACCTGTCAGAGAAGGTTTTGGGGAGGTGTTACACCACACCTTCATTGCGTGCTCTTTATCCTCTGGACAAGGAGGGACCACCAGCTCCCCATGGGCTCCAAGCCAGCACTGAGCATCACCCAGGGCAGAAGAAGACATCAGCTCCTCTGGAGAGCTGGCTCAGGGCAGGATCACACCCATGCCCTTGCAGGAGTGAGGAACATCACTCATATCAGGACCATCCTCACGTCCCATGGCGTTGGTGCTGATCAATGGAGAATGTTGTATTTATTGAGCTGCTAGCACTGGGGCTAATGCAGATTCGACGACAATGAAAAATATTTTAACTGGCTCTTAATTTTTATTTTATTTTTTGGTGTGTGGTTGCTAATTTCCTTCTTCCTCTCATCATAGCTGGAAGGGAAGTTTAATGCCTTTCGAGTAATCACATGGGGTCTTATCTACAATTGCAGAAGCACATACAATTCCACATTTGGTATTCATAAAGGGAAGTTTCAAAGTTGATTCTACTCTTCACTAATTTCCTATAATAGTTATTTAGCTCATATAGTGCATGTTAATTAGGCTGCTGTACTTTAATGACTTTTGCCATAGGATATTTTTTTTCACATTATAAAATACCACGTTAGAAAAGTGTTATTGATCTTCAGTAAAAAGAACAATGAAATTTCTGATGTTTCTCCTTAGACAAAGAGGAACAGGTAGACTATGAAAGTGGCTTATTTTATGAATCAGACTCTGGATAAAGGAAATATAACCAGAACCTATTCAGAATGCCTAATAGAAAAATTGTAGCGAGCAGCTGCACCAGGTAAAATATTCCTTCTGCCTCTAATTATGTCACAGCAACAATTGCAGCTAAAAGCAGACATTTGAATCCAGTGAGAGATTAGGTGTTATACAGCAGTGCAATGAGAAGCACAATTGTCTTTAGAGCTAAATGCCTTGCTGAAGAGACATCCTGCTGCATACCTAAGGGCAAATTAGCAATTTAGGACATATATACAACAGTTCAATCTTCTAGTTGCGAGATACAGTTGGAAAAAAAAAAAAAAAAGTTCATGTTATAAACATAAATAAAATAGAAAAATAACTGCCTTTACTGTTGATAACAAAATGGCAGAGCTTGCATGTCCAGGTGACAGCCTCTATTAACCAACTACCCAGTTCTGTAAACCCTGAGTTACAATTGTCAGAAATAATTGTTTTCAGAAGAATTCAGGTCAAGCAAACAGACATCGTGTGGTAGACTGGGAAGTTTACAGAGGCACCTCAAAAGCTCTGCAGGCCAACAGAAAATAAATGGAAAGCAGAAGGTGCTGGAGGGGGACCCCGGCATGCCTTTAGTGAACTCCCAAAGGCAAGGAACCTATACCCATCATCAGCCTTTCTATGAGAGACAAGTTTTCTTTAGGTACCAATGCACTCAGTAAGCACTGCTTTGGATTTGAAGTACTGAAATTAATTTGATTATGTGAAGAGATGACTGCAAACACTTGAAAATATGTCTACCAGAGAAACATCTGATGTTTCTCTTGGATTCAAACCTAAAATATAGATTTCTCCCAAGCCTCAAGTTGCACCAGAAGAGGTTCAGGTTGGAAATTAGGCGTAATTTCTTCTCAGAAAGAGCAGTCAGGCATTAGAATGGGTTGCCCAGGGAGGTGGTGGAGTCACTGTCCCTGACGGTATATAAGGAAATGTTGGACGTGGTGCTTAGGGACATGTTTTAGTGGATGATACTGGTGGTAGGGGGCCTGTTGGACTAGATGACTGTGGAGGTCTTTTCCAACCTTAATGACTCTGATTCTATGATATCAGGGATGCTGAGTATACCTGGTCTTGCCCATTTGTGGGAACCCTCATGTGGGAACACCATCAGCCAGGGGTGACGGTGGATACTGCTCAGCGTTCACTATGGTGTACCACTGTTTAATTAATTTACCTCATATGCAAACACTGACTTCAAGCCTGAACATCTTATTCAAGCTTTTCATCATTTATTTATATTTTCAGTTTACAGATGCCCCACAGACCTCATAGACAAGGCTGAAAGCAACACCTTGGCCTCCTTCCTGGCATGTGCTCCTTGCAGCCACACAGCTGGCAAGAAGAGATAGTAATTTTGCTGCTACACATCCACCCTGTCAGCATGAGGTGCTGAGCTCTGTTGGAAGGAGCTGTGCTCACTTACCTGATGTTGGCTGTTTGTATCATCAGAGGAATGTCTCTCTGGGACAGCGAGACCTCCCAGCCCAGACCTCCTAAAAGCATCTCTTGGCCTGAGCATGGTGATGGGCTCTGTGGAAACAGCATGGGCAGGAAGGCAAGGTCCAAACACAGCCCAGCCATCTCCATGCAGGTGTCTTTCCACTTGTGGCCCTTGTTGCCTGTGTGAGGAGAAAATTAAAATCCGTTTGCTTGCTTGAAGGCACCAACATTTCATAAACTCCTGGAGCTACTGGTACTCTTGCACAGGTTTGAACCTTTGGACAAGACTACGTGAACTCACATTCATTTTAGTGGGCTCAATTCTTTGAAGCCTTTTACATGTCTTCAGGTATGAGCCTGGAGTCATACAGACATGGTTTGCTCAGTGTTAGGCCCATTGCAGATCTGGTTGGTTTGTGCAGTTTCTCTCTGCCTTCTTCCCTGTACTTCTCCTACAAGATCCTTTTGAGACCAAGGCACTTATTTTCCAGTAGGTGGGAAGCTCTACTCAACAGCCTGAATTAACCTTGGGGCTGGAAGCTGAAAAGGCAGAAAGGTGAGAGGTTATAGCAGCTGTAAGTGAGGCCAGAAATTGAAGTATTTTACATTTTATAGTTTCTGGAGAAACACAGTAAACACTGAAAGAGTGGCCTCTCCCCTCACCCACAACACCCAAATGCTGAAGGTTTCTTATCTCCATTCGCTTTCCTGCTCATCTTCCTCAGTTGAAGTTCCCTCAGACTGAACACAAAACTCCTTTCTTCACATTTTGAAACCTCTTTGAAGCAATGGGAGCCTTTTCTCCTTCTGTCATCATGAATGATGAGAAGAGCTGATAATCTCTATTGCTATCTGGCCCAGCACTTCCTTTTGTGAGATCTAGTTTCTACTTGCTTACAACCTCACCAGACTCTGGCTGTCAGGATCATGTTTTTTTACTTCATGAGCCTGACTCATATTTAGGTATTTTCAAGAAAGTGTCAACTAAAACAATCACCTGTTTCTGAGAACATTTGCCAGAAAATACAGCCTTCAATACATTGAAAAGATGCAAGCAATCTTGCTAACAAGATCACTTACTTTGGAAAAAGTCCTTTTAGCAGAGAAGGTAGCTTAATATTAGTTTGGCAATGTGCCTTTTGCTGCCACAGCCACAAAATTTTGTCAAGATCCCTCTGAAAAAAATAGAAAAGTAAAAAATCAGCTCACGTATATTCAGCAGCACATAATATTTAGCACCTTAAAACCCACCAAATTCTCCTTGAGCAGAAGCCATCAGTGTGCCCTTGTCACTAAGAAGGCCAATGGTATTGTGGGCTGCTTTAGGCAAGGTATCACCAAGGGGCTGAGGGAGGTGATCCTTCCCCTCTATTCAGCACTGGTGGGGCCACACCTGGAGTTTTGGGTCTGTTTCTGGGCTTCCCAGTATGAGAGAGACCTGGATGCGCTGGAGAGAGTCCAACAAAGAGCCACCGATACGATGAGGGGACTGGAGCACGTCTCCTGTGAGGAGAGGCTGGGAGAGCTGGGACTGTTCACCCTGGAGGAGACTCAAGGGATCTCACCAAGGTCTGTAAATATCAGAAGGGAGGGTGCAAGAGGACAGAGCCAGGCTTTTTTCCATGGTGTCCAGTTGCCAGGACAAAGCAACGGGCACAAACTGGGACACAGGAGGTGCCACCTGAACATCAGGAAGCACGTCTTTACTGTGCAAGTGACTGAGCACAGGCTGCCCAGAGGGGCTGTGGAGTCTCCTCCTTGGAGATCTTTAGAAGCCACCTGGACATGGGCCTGGGCACCCTGCTCTAGGTGGCCCTGCTTGGGCAGGGGTTGGGCCAGATGCCTCCAGAGGTCCCTTCCCTCCTCAGCCATCCTGTGAGTCTGTGACACCACCTCTTCCTTCCCAGGAAAGGGGACAACTTGGGTGTGCTTGTAGCTCCCCACAGAACCAGGTTTCCAGCAGCAGGAGATGTCCTGCAACACGTCCAAGGGCCTGGAGCAGGCCTCAGCGGGCTCCTGCAGCCGGGACCTGCTCTCTGCTGGGGAACGTGGGGTGTCCCACAGCACCGTACTGGGAGCAGAGGAGACCTTGGGATGTGCTCCTTGCAAAACACTTTGCTCATTAACCAGACAAAGCAAAAGTGAAAGTCCTCTCAGATATGTCACAACGTAGCAGGGAACTTTCTCTATTTAGGGAACGAAGGCACATGACCTGCAGCCTGGCGTGGCTGCACAGCCTGTGATCTGTGACACCGAGCAGCAAATGGGGAATCACAGTACATTTCCTCAGCCTCATTCCATACTATAGCATCTCAATCAAAGAAAAAAGAAAAAAAAAAAAAGGCTTATTTTTGATTTTTGTGACCTTACAGGTCACATCTGTGCTGCTTGTTTTGAGGCAGATTTTGTTACCCATGCAAGTGACTTTGTGCTGTTTAAACAGCAGCTACAAGCTGCTGTGTTTCAAGAGGTAAATCCTGGTTGCGTCCTGAGCTTTAAAGGACTCCACACTTATCTCACGAGCTGTGTAGCAGTTCAGCAGCTTATCTTGTCAGTCCTCTTACTGGAGGGAAAAAAGAAAAGGCCCCCAGCTCATTCCTAGAAGGAACCTAGCATCCCCTGTGCGATGAGAGCAGATGTATTCACAGGCAGACGGAGTACAAGCTGCTTAAAGGGAAAATGTGCACACAGGGATAAGGTTTCCCAGCCTACATAAATGTTGATGGATCTGTAAATGGATGTAGATCAATTATTGAGTTTTCATTTCAGCTGCATCTGAGTTCTCATAGTAAGCAGAAAAAAAAATCCTGTGTTCTCTGTAAATCTGGGGTTTGCTTTTACTTCTTTCCAGCATGACAAATCATTTCTCTGATTTCAAAATGACTAAAAGCAGCATCCCATGTTTTCTAATTGAATCTTCAAAAGCTACAGGAAGAAAGAGCAGGTGGGTCCCCCAAAATCGCAGTGGGCTTCAGCTCTTCAGGGATGAGCATGGGTGCAACAGGAAAAGCTTGCAGCTTGCCCAGGTTCTCAGAACATTGGTGATGGGCTCCAGCCCCACTTCTTCTTTGTATGCATATTCACCACCACTGCTAGCATGGCCCCAATTGCCCTTGAGAACAATAGAAAAGGGTCAATAAATCTGTTCTTTCAAGACTACCTCATCTGAGTGTGCTGAAGGTTGTCACCACTTCCCAAGCAGTTTAAAAGCAGAATTTTCTGAGAGACAATACTTTAGACACCTTCAGCATCATTAGCCTAAGGCAAGCAAATTTCACAGCAGCATCACAGTTTCTAGGGCAGAAACATGTCATTTAATTTGTTCCCCTGGCCTGATTAGTCCCACAACAGAAGCAGAGATGGCTCACTTCCAGCCAAGCACAGTGACGAGACTCCGCTTGTTTCTCAGCTGCCAAAGGATGGGAGAACTCCTTGGAGATCTTCAGAAGCTACCTGACATGGGCCTGGGCACCCTGAGCAGGGGTTGGACCTGATGGGCTCCAGAAGTCCCTTCCTACCTCAGCCATTCTGTGATGCTGTGACTCTGTCTGTCACACAGCTCCTTCTGAAGCTGCTCCTTTGCTGTGCTGGCAAAGCAGCGTGCTCCTACCACACTCTGCTAGTTTCCACCTTAGGGAAGCTTTGGTGTATACTGGGGGTTAAGGCAATGACTTCGTGACCCAGCATCACATCCCCCAGATCTGCCATGGGAGTTTTCTCTCTTCCTCTATATTTTCTAGTCTTCTGAATCTTTCCCCCTGCTTCCCTGAATGCCAGGTTTGTTTCAGAGCCTGGAAACCAGCATGGTTATTGATGTGGGACAAATCCCAGGATTCAGAGTCCTCTTAGGTGCACCTCAAGTCTCTGCCCACATGGGAAGCTTTGGGCACTATTCTTCTTCCAGCGTGTACGAATCAGTCTCCACAAGGATCTATAGCAGTCTTGCAGAGCTGTGTTTGGAAAGATAACATGTTTACCTCTTTCTGAAGCTCTCATCAAATGCTGAACACCAAAAAGAGTGATTACCAAGTAGAAAAACAAACACACGCCTGGCCAGTCACCTGAGGAGACTTCAGCAGCTATGGAGGCTGATGCTTACAGGAGATAAGCCTCATGTACCAGCATGGGAAGAGCAGAACTACCATGCTGGTACATGAAGCAAACAGCTGATGCGAGTGTGTCTGTTTATAATAGAACAGTTTTCTTTATAAGGAAAAGAAGTCCAGCCTTAATTTTCTTACCGAGTTTGTCCTCTGGCAAAACTTGCTGTCACAATTTCAAGCATGCGTTTACATAGCACAAGCTTCCCTATTGTTGGGAAGATAATGTGGTTTAACAGTGGCTTAAGTTAGAAAAATTAAAAGGCTGAAAGCTAAGTAGATTACTTTTTTCTTGCAACTTAATACTGAAAAAAACAACAGTGAGGTTTTTCATGAGCATGTTCTTCACATTTTATGAACACACATGAAACCCACACGCAGCTACGGACATCCTTTTGCCAACCCTGCCCCCATCTTAGATTATTACAAACTGTTGGAGAGCATATGACAAGCAATATCAAATAATAATCAGGAGACAGGAATGTTTGGCAGGAAGGATGATCCCATCAGATCTGTGAGAAAGAGGAGGCTGGGTGAGTGCTTTAGCTGCAGGGGAAGCTCGGGCTGAAGCACCCTCCACGATGGTGCAGGCACGGGAGCCTGCAGCAAAGAAAAGGTGGGTGGTGATGTGTTTCCAGCTGCAGGAGGAAGGAGGCCTTCTGAGAAAAAGAGAGGCCTGGCTCTCATGGCAAGGGCAGAAGCAGTCTCTGCTATAGGCAGAAAGTCATCACCTATCACTGCAGATGTCCTTGTGGGGTCAGATCAGGGCTGCCCATGGGTGCTGGCACTGCTGCTGCTGCTGCCAGCAACACCAGGTTCTGCCAGCAGCAAGGTACACTCTTGAAAAGGAATTTGGAAAAATCAAGCTGTGATCAGAGTGCATGGTAAAAGCTGTGGGAACCTCTAGCAAGCGTAGCATGGCAAAGAGGAAGAAACGTAGAGCTTTAAGCATGCGAGAGTCCTGCAAAGCAAGCTTTTACGTAAATAAGTAGTTCAGTCATCAAAAAGAGACAAAGTCAGAGCAGACTAACACATGCTCTGCATGCAGTAGGAGTTTAATAGCCCTGAGAAGTGAAACCCAGTTTCTTGCTTTATGGGTGGTAAGCTTGGAGTTTGGCAACGTGCAACAGGCGCAGCACATCTTTATGCAACACTCTGCAAGCCGTCAACAACATGTGGCTCTCCAGCAGCCCATCAGCCGGGGAAGGCCTTTGAAAACGAGGACATCCAGTGGCTGAACACCATAGCAGGGATTTTCACGAAGGATTTGTGTCGTAGCAGAAACACCTGACCGTTTATGCCAAATTTCTGCACAGAGACCTAAAGTAGGTCGCGTGGGGTGCAAAGGCTTTTACATAAACTCTCTGGACTGGGGTAAACTCCTCATAATAAAAGGCTTGTGGCTGCAGCAAGCTTTTTGGGGCAGTCTCAGTAAGTATTGCCGAGTAGTTGCCAAGAATATTGCTTCACCTTCCTTTCTCTGCTTCCCTATGACAACACACGTGCACTTTCATTTACATCTTTAAGAAAATATTAATAAAAACCCATCATGTTTCTAGGTTAGCCTCTAAATCTCTCATTTAGCTACAGATAGTAAACATGGCTGTGAGTGTTAGAAATCCCTTAGTAAGTAACCAGTCCCTCTGGAACCAATCAGTACAGCAAGCAACCTGCACCACAGGGTGAATAATTTAGCCTTAGGTACCCCAGCTGGAATATTTACACCTAGCTCCTACTACTGTCACATTTATAGAGCACTTGTAGCAATTAATCACATTTCCAAATGTATGTTGTAGGAGAGAAACTAAAATATTAATAATCAAATTCAGGCTTTGTCATGAAATTGCAGTGACTGATACCTCAGAAATATAATATCCTGGGACAAGAACATTGTGCCTTGTGTGAACCACAGCAGAAATAAATGAAGATATGTAAAAATTAGAGTCACTTCTAGAGAAAGCAGACCACTTTTGCACATTTACAGGCCTTGATTTTCCCTGGAGATTGGCTGTACAATATCGTGTACAGTAACAGCTCACCTAAAAACAGATATTGCGGAATTGAAAAAGCAAAACCCTCAACTTCTTCAAAAGTTGATTTGAACTAGTGTCACGTAGGACTGTATTTATATGTCGCAGAGAAATTCCTGGAAGATTTGTCAGGTAGCTCTTCACACAACTTGAAGCTCTGAACCCACAAAGTCCGTTACTTGACGGCACAGGGAACAAGAGAGCTCCAGGCCTTGTCCCAGCAGCATCTTTTGGCACGGCGTGTGTGGTGCAGGTCAGAGGGCAGAATCATACAATCACAAAATATCCCGAGTTGGAAGGGACCCACAAGGATCATCGAGTCCAACTCCTGGCTCCACACAGCACCACCCAAAAATTCACACTGTATGACTGAAAGCACAATCACAGTCATATGCTATAGGGACTCGTGTGGTCTCAACCTTCTCTCACTTCTCTTTTTCACTTGGGCTGACCAGAGTAGTCGGTCAAGCTAGGTGCAAACTGCTGTCAGAAACTGAACCCAACACCCGTGTGGTCAGCAGAGGTGAGAGCACAGCCCCGAGGCTCGCCATCACAGCTGGGACACCTCTCAGAGGGCTTCAGATCACTTGGCCATCCAAAGACTTCAGCCTAAACCTTTCAGTTGTAGGCTACTTGCCAAACAAAATGCTCTTCTCCTTCGTCTCCCCTTGCCCAGGCTTTCCTGGGCATTGCCTGCAGCAGCACAGTAGTTCAAATGAGTATGAAAAATATAAAAAAGAGTTTTTTATTTCATTGACTTTGAACGCTGAATCAACATACCACGTAGTACAAGCGCACTAGATCTGATTCAAGAAAAGAGGTGGAAACATTTGGTCAGCAGTTTGGGAGGGTTTAAAAAAAAAATGCCACCAATTTGGCTCACTGCTAAATCAGGAAAACACTCAACTTGATGCAAACAGGGGCCCTGGAACATACGGCAAGAGGGAAGCAACTGCAGCAATGCCAGTTTTGATGAGCTCACGTTGCCATATCGTAGAGTTTAAGAATGTACAGCTTTAGCACTTGGAAACTATTTAGAGCTCAGGGAAAAAAAAAAAAAAAAAAGCTACAAGCATGGTGAGCACTCCCATTACTCTCTTTGAAGAAGAGCTGTAGTTTTCTAGGACTGACTCTTCCAGGATTACAGCACATTTTTCTTCTCTCGCTTGAGGCTTATGAAGAGCAGAATGAGAATCCCATCACGGATTTTTGCACCCTTATATTAAAAGTTCCTGTGTTACAGGCAGTATTTGGGGTGGCCATGCCTTCTGGCTAACAGCATATAAACTCCTGCCATCCTTCACGGTGTAATGTGGAAGCAAAGAGCAAGAGTGAGAAATTCAGGTTATTTTCCCCATTACTGGTGCTGTTCTCTGCCTCTCTAATATCTCATATCTGTTCTGGGCCATTAGTGCCATACACAGCTACTGACTTGATTTTACTTATTGGTAAAAGGCACGTTGTTTTGGGAGCAGATGCTTAGAACAGTGCGCTAAGCAAAGTCGTGTCAAGGTTCCCAGTCAAACTGAATTGCTTGCCTTTCCTCTTTGTTCCCCTGCAAATGTAATTTTAATTACATAAACTTTGCAGAGCAGCTCATGAGGAGCAGCTAAATTACAGACAGCAGGCAGGGACAGGTGGGGAAAAGTGGCTCGGAGCTCCGAGAGGTGTTGCAACCTGTGCTGCAATGCAAGGGAATTGCCAAAGTCAGTGAATATTGCCAATAGAGGAGCTTCGGGGCTCGTTTTGTCCTACAATGGCTCCATTTGCTGAATTTTTGATGCAGAGCCCCTGCCCGCGCACACGAACTTCATCCTGAAATTAGAGAGATCTTTTCAATTAGCTTACTCTTACAGCTGGATTGTTCCGGCTTTGTACAAGATATCTGCATTTCATTCAATTCGTTATGAATGCAACCACGAAGCATGTAGTTATTTCTCCAGAGGCTGACTCAGATTATATGTTGACAAATTATATATTGACAGATTACACGGTGACAAGCAATTCATCCTTCCCTTCCTTTCACCAGTCCATCAAAGACAGAAGCCCTACTGTACGCAGACTGGAAACGACAAAACAGCCACATTAGTTCCTTCTCATCTGTGTAATTTCTCTTCAAATGTCTGCTTTCAGCTGTGAGGCAAAAGGGCGAAAATATTCTCCTCCCTACTTCCAGTGGAAAAAAAGTTGTTTGCGTAAGTACCATAGGTAAAAAAACAACAGCGAATACGTATTTTGGTATTACCAATAGCACAAAACTGACATAGCCACTACTGCCACTAGCATCAAACTCTTATGTCTGGGGAGGCACCAAAATACGCCTCCTCCCTCTGCTCTGTAAGGCATTCAAATGTTCTTTTTAGTTAAATATCTTTAAAAAAAAATAGCAACTCATGCTTCATCTTCCATAGGTTGAAAAGGAAGAATATGGATTATTTTTTTTTTTAAACAAGCCAGACTCTACAACATCATTTTCTCTGAACCACCCTGAGCCCATCAGCTGGATGAAAACCAGCTGTCCATAATAAGACAAAAAATATAAGGCTGAGAATTGCTGGCTGGTTCCTGCTGGGGTCTGAAACTAGCGAGGGGATGTATGCTGTGTTTTGAAGAGATTTATCTAACTTTGACCAGGGCAGCTTGCATTTTGAAGTCCTATTGAATGCAACCATCCTTACCATGCTGAGAAATAACAGATGTGCATCACGGAGCTTTGTTTTTCCAGATCGGTGACAGTGGATTTTTTTGTACAACTATTGGACTTAATGGGCTGTGAACATTGCAAAATAAACAATTTGCCTGATTGCCTAAGTGGATGTTGCTATTCCTATTTTTCTCAGGTTTCAGTGCAAATTTTGCAGAATAAATTGCAAGTGCTGAATTTATTAGCACAGAATGAAATGGTTCCGCTTGGGGTTTTGTGTTTGTTTGTTTGTTGAG